ACATGAGGTAACATTGCAGGACCAACGGCATACGTGTTTTAGGGGAAGGTGCAACAGAGCAAACATATATACAGAGCATAGGACATTAAACCAAAACATGAGATGCCTAAGTGGACCAAATTGGACTATAAGAAGTAAGTAGGTTTGAAGCCGGCCATCTTTCTTGCCTTATTGTTTTTGGTGAATTGTCGTTAACGATGGTGTCCTGATCTGACGATGTCCATCACGTAACGGTCGAAAGCTCAGCAAGGTTTTATCGGGGTCACAGGGCGGTGCGCTGAGGACCTATTCGCTCAAATCTACAACCACAGCGCCAAGGCAAACCCACACAACCTCCGGTGGACCAACTTATAAATCCCTATCTCTCGCCACTTCAAACGAAATGAAAGGTACTCCAACACTGAAATTATTAGCGCTTAATTTTTTGGAAATTTACTTAAGCTTAATTTAATCAAATATGAGCTTTCAATCCCCTTTTTATATTTTCTCTCTTAGTGGTTTCGCTTTCTGTGTCCTTAGTAAGTCCCCCAATGGCTGCTTCAAAGACATTTCGTTCAAATTTCATCTCTACCGAGCTGTGGTGCGTCTCCTGGCGTGCTTTGGCACACGGACCACTTTGTATCGATGGCCGCCCATTCCCTTCCATTTTAGTAAACCCAGTCGATCCGAGTAACCTTAAAAATGGTTCTTCATCAGCTGTGTTTAAATGCCTTGCTTCCTCCTGTCACACATCTTCAACTGCATCACCCACAAATATGACTTCTTTCAAGAAAATCCATTCTACTCCTGGTCTTTCCGGGTCCAGCGGTACTTGTATCCTGGCCTGTTCTGCCAATAAATCAGGCCTTGGATCTTGTAATGCCACCATAGTTTCCGAATTTCAAAGTGGGCAACATTCTACCACCTCCATCATTATCGCAGGCAATAACTCCGGTGGCAGTGGCAACAGTAGCAGTGCTTCAGCTTCGCCCATCTGTCCTGTTCCTACTCGCTCTTCTCGTTACTCAACTTCCATGAGTGCACCGACTTCTTTCCATATTGTCTTCGCCTTCCAGCCTGATCAATTGCCTATTCCTTTCATCGACTCCTCTTCAGCCCCTAGAAACCATGCTTTACTTATCAGTCAATCTTGGCGTTTAATCTTTACTCTGGCCAAGCTCTCGACGTCTCGATTATCAGCTCCCGGTGTAGCTCCTACAGCCTCGAAATGTCTTCCAAACCTGGCCTCTATGGGAGAACCAGTAATGAAGGACACCTGCTATCAAATAATCGATGTGAAACTATCCGGTTCTGTGAGCTTCAGAATAATTGCATGTGCTTTTACTTAAGAAAGTATTTAACATTAATTGTGGGTATCTCAATGGAAAATATTTCCTTATATATAGTCTATTTCACATCAATCTGATTGAAGGTATTTAGCTCTTGTAATGGCAAATACATGTTTGTTACATAATTTGAAATGGAAGACACCTCACTAACTCTGAAATTCACGTCTGCCCTGTGCTCCACTGGCACCCGTAGCAATGTGGCAGTGGTAATATTTTAAATTACAAGCATGTGCTTAAGTTCATAATAGATGGAAAAGTGTTTTTTTATTTATCTATTCTCAAGTTTCACATTCGGCCATGCTTCAATATTAGCGATTAAAGTTTTTTTGGCATAAATTGGTTTCGAGACCATGATTTATCCTTAATTAATAACTTAACTTGTCGCTTAAGGCGATTTAAAGGCTGACAATTGAATTTTCCCTCAATGAGGTGAGCGGACATTGAATGTCGCATCTACCCTGTGATGCATTGGCATCCGCGACTGTATATATTGTAAGTGATTTCGCGACCATACTCATGACCCAGTATCAAATTTCGTCAAAGGTGCTGATGAAACCTAGGTCGAGTCAAAATGCAGTCCATTAGGTGGGAGATAGCTCTTTGGAAGGTAGTGAAATTCATTGACATCATAAGGTCTACTCATCTTTGTGAAAATTCAACGATCAGTCCCTAAATCACCTTAAGCAATACATTTTTATTCAAGAATTCCTGAATGCCTTGAAGCCTACTCATACCGAAAAAAAGTGACGTCGTCAATCTCACCTTAAATATTAGTTTGCTTAATCTTCAATCCCACATTGTGGCTTAGCTTGAATATTAGATCTTTCCTGCCACCAACAGGAACTCGTGGCTGGGTAGTAAAGTGGTAACTTTGCCATATTATTCATGACCCTGTACCGAATTCCGTTGGTGGTCTTGGTGAGAACTAGGAGAGCTCGAAGATGCATTCTACCCTGTATACAATAGATTTTTGAGGGGCAGAGCCAAATTAAATTCAGTTAAATCGTTGGGCTTATTCATCCCATTATGAGAAAGCACAACAACTTTAGCGACCTAAAGTGGCTAATTTATTATTCATCATTTAACGATAGTGTCTAAACCTACTTTTATCGATAATAAGTAGCTTCGTTGATAGCATTGGCAAATACTAAGTATCATCTTAACCGAAATTCGGAAGGCCCGATTTTTTATGTCACATCTGCCCCATGATCAACAGGCATCTGTGGCTGAGCAATTTATGGCTAACTTGGCCACCCTACTTTCTAATCGGCATCGACTCTGGTTGGGAGTCTGATAAGACTGGGAAAGAACCTTTTTGGAGACATGGCCAAGTACCTCTATGGCATCGTGAAACCTATTCATCTTATTGTGGGAGAGCCTAATTGTTACTCCTTGAATGATCTTAAGTGACCCATAGTAGCTAAGTTCCTATAAATGTCTTTTGTTTGAACAAATATAGTTAAAATATATGGACAAAAACAGGATTTCGAAGAATTTTTTAGTGATATATTGCGACGTGTCTTCTTATTTGAATGAAAAGTTGGGAGAAATTTGTGAAATTGTCTCACTAGAAACCAAAGGAGGATTGCCGCGGAGTGAAGGCTTTTGGATTATACAAAGAAGTCTTCGGCTCACTGTTTGCGACCTTGATTAACCTGTGATAAGCTTTCGTTTGTACCGTGGCAGACATCATCGTACTTTATGAAATGACGCACAGAATATGCTAAACCATTTGCGCTATTTCTTGAATTGTTTACTTTTGCTCTGGTGTCTGTCACGATATAGACGAAAGCTTGGCACAGGTCCATTAAGTTCGCAGGACTGTGAGGCTAGGACTTCCTCGCACAATCCAACAGCCTTCACCTCGCGATAATCTTTCGGTTTCCGGTTTGACCATCTCACGAATTCCTTCTAGCCAACTTTTTCTTTGAAATGGAAAGTATTGTCACCACATAGTTTAGATATATCTGGAAGTAGTGAAAATTTTTATGATAACAGAGGTTACATTCTTGATTCTTGTTGATTAGAAATTGCAATATTTATATATGAAGACCAAGATGGTGTGGCCTTTTGTGTGGTCGCAGTCTTCTTTCGTTGTATAGAAGTTGTTTGA